CACACACACACACACACACACACACACACACACACACACACATATATATATATATATAAAAAATTTCTTTTCTTTTCTTTTTTCAATTTTTCGGGAAAAACAAAAAAGGCTTCAGGAAAAAAACTGAAAAAAACTTTTTTACCCCCGAAATTTTCCGTTTTTTTCCCAGGCCTTCACATCTCTAGAGGCAGTACATACATTTTCTAAAGAAACAAACCACCAACCAAAGATCTGGCCCTCCCAACTGTTCCCATTGGATTTACACCATCCAAAAAGGTGTGACATGAGCATCAGGCAGAAACATTGCAATAAGGTGCTTGCAAGACAAAATATCTCCTAGGAATCAAGCAAGCAAGCCCAGCCATGTGCTGCAGTGGAAAAAACCCAGCCCAATGTTCCCTCTAAGCTGTGGAATCTTGTGAGCAAAAATTCTACTTTGTGAGCTACTGGCATTAAAGTTGTGAGCGAGCGATTGGGCTAACTGCAGAAATTGGTTTGCTCTGGAGCCCTCCTTCCTGAGCTAAGACAAAAATGTGTGAGCCGGAGGCTGAAAAGCTGTGAGCTAGCTCACACTAGCTCATCTTAGAGGGAACACTGCCTAGCACCACATGGTCACTAGCCAGTCAGAGCTAGATCCAAATTTAGGCTATGGGTAACCGGCTCAGTTTTTTCCCTTCTCACTTAGCCTCTACAACACAGCAGATTACCCTTGGTAAAACCAAAATTGCTGCAGAGCTATTGTTTCTGCCCAAGGCTGACTTTTGCGGCTTCCTAAAATAATTACAGTCCTTCAAATGTTTTATGATCCAACTTGTAAGAAAAACACAAATGCCAAAGAACCACATTTACCTGGAGGTCAAAACCTCTCACTTCCCCTTGCTCAGATTCCAGTTCCTCTTCGGTCAAGGAGACCAATGACCCCCGCTCATCATTGGCCAGGGGGCTTTGCTGGAGGCCTTTGGTGTTCAGCGATGCCGTATCAAGACTCGAGGAAGGCTTCTTAATATGGTCGGTCTCTCCTGCAAGGCCTTCCAAGCTGTAACTGAAGACAAATTGGCAGGAATCAGGGGCTGCACAGATGCTTAGGAGAGATCAACATACAAGCTTGCTGGCTAAAGGGGTTTCGGCAGGAAGCGTTCAAATCAAAAGACATTTTAAATTCCTCAGCTCGCCCTGGTTAGTTAATACGATCCAGCATTAGCGCAGTTAGCAACGATGACCACTCTGAACACAATTCACCTGCAACATCTGCGTAAGCTCAGATGAAACAAAACACGTGGGGCTCATCTTCTAGCAAAGACCAGTCATTAAGCACAGTTGCCCGTCAGGAATTTCAGCCAGACTCTAGTCAAATCAGCTGCAGTGATAAACTGTAATGGAGGTAACTATACAGGCTTACATATAGCTATTCACCTGTGGTGAATAAAACTTGCAGCCAGGTGACAAGTGAATTTTTCTGAACTGGAGGAAGGGGTCTCTTGTACCCCCTTTCAGACAATGTGCTACAGAAATAACTAAAGATGTGTATGCACGGGCTGGTAAGATTTTTTTTTGCAAGCAAAGCAATTTTGGTGACACCTCTGCACGACTGCCTTCAAACCTCCCAGACAAAGCCCACAGAAACAGAGACTGTCCCGAACCAGCAGACTTGTAGCAGACACAAAACGGCATGCAAGAAGCGGACAAAGCCAGGTTTGCAAGCCCCTTCTGCTTCAACCCGTTCACTGATACTCTACCTTCGACCATTTAAGTCATCACCCATGGCACTGCACTGGACACTAGAGGGACACCAGCTCAAACTGGGAATATCAAAGAAAACAGGAGGCCTGCCATTACTGGGCTGTCAGAGAAGCAGATGTTAATAAAGGCAGCTTATCCTTTAAAGTGTACGTGTGTATAAAACGGCCTGAAGCCGAGAGGAAAGGTGTGGTATGAGCATTTTAATAAATACATAATGACCTTCTTCCTTACAAACCTATCCAACCACTACGGTCATCTTCCGAGGCCTTCTGAGGTTAGGCCTTCTTGGTCATGGCACCAAAATTCTGGAACTTTCTCCCTTCTGGAACTCTCTGTCTCTTTCTGTAGCTATCTCCCGCCAGCAGGCAAAGACTGCTTTGTTTTGTCTGGCATTCCCTCCTTCCTGCCCTCATTTGAATGGTTGTTTTTATGTTTCTGTATTTTTGCTTGTTTGTAATTATGTCGTTTTGTTTGGTTTTAATGGTCTTTAAGACGTGTTTCCGTTATGCACGTTTTTAATCTGTTAGACGCCTTAGCGGCCCTGATGAGGGCAGAAAGGCGAGAGATTAATTTTGAAAATATATAAAACAATAAATAAACTTGTGCTCGTTTGGGAGTGAGGCAGGCAAGTAGACAGGCAAAGTCCATGGTCACAACTCATTTTTGCCCACTGCTGAAGCCATCCAGATGGATATTTCCATGCTTTGACATTAGGAACAGCTTTGACAGGAGCACAATTTAAAACCCATCCTGTTGCTTTTCAGCAAGTTCATGTCAACAAAGCTTAAGGTGGGACAATTCCTGGACAACTGTACCTTAAAGACAACCGAACTACTTAACACTAGCCTACAACAGAGTACTAAAGCTAGGTTACCAGGACTAGGTGACCATTGGCTGATCTACTTTGAGGTCATGGAAGACCTAGCTGCAGATCCAACTCACAGAGAAGCATCAGTCCGTACACTATTAGTGCTGTGCTCCTGAATGAAAGCAACAGCCGGTTTGGCGAGAACTCAAACCTTGCGTTCCCTAGTGATGGGAAGGGATGTGAGGTGGTTGGCAGGAAGAAGGGAATGCGGCAAGGCAACCAGAGGCCGGAAAATCATAACAGCCTAAGAGGTAGGAGAGCTTCAATGACCAGGCAGCCCAGAAGGCAAAGCAACATCGCTGAGAAGTGTGGGGAAAATAAAGGGAGGAGACAATGGCCTGAGGAAAGCTAAGGTATGCCTTTCATCAGGGCTCTTTTTGTAGAAAAAGCCCAGCAGGAACTCATTAGCATAATAGGCCACACCCAACAGCAGAAACTCATTAGCATATTAGGCCACACCCCTGACAGTACAGCTCATTAGCACATTAGGCCGCACCCCCATGTTACCAGAAGTGTGGTCATCCAGCCACACCCACCTTTTGCTTCTTATTCTGTTTACCTTGTTTGTTGTCAAAACCCAGGGGCTTTTTTGTAGCAGGAACTCCTTTGCATGTTAGGCCACACACCCCTAATGTAGCCAATCCTAATGAGTTTCTGCCGTTGGGTGTGGCCTATTATGTTAATGAGTTCCTGCTGGGCGTGGCCAACTTGGGAGCCAGCCGGAACTCCGTTCCTGTGCGTTCCTGCCCAAAAATAGCCCTGCCTTTTATGAATGGAAGGAAAGAGAAGAATTGAAGAAAAATCTCCAGTAAGATTATCGACAGCAGGAAGTGGATATTTGTGGGACCAAAGGAAGGACTAGGCAAAGCATCTTGGGTAGCTCAGGAACTATGGGTTGAAGGCATCAAAACATCACAATCATCAGTGTATATCAATCTGACTGCCCATCATGTCATTTTGACAGCAGTATTTTAGCACCAGTTAATTAGTTCATCACACGGACTTCCTCCCCCACTCTTAGCATCTAAAGCTCATCGAAATGTTAAATACACTAAGCAGCAAAACCAAAATCAGTTTTCTGACCAAATCTGCCCATATCTGCCTAAAGGCACCACTCAACCATGAGATGTGCAATGAAGCCCGGCTGGACTAGCCATGTGGAGGATTTTATGGCACAAACTTGCCTTCACAGGCTGAGCAGAAAATTCATAGGACACAGGGAAGGAAAAAACAACCCCCCAATGCCATTGTGTGTGTCCCAGCTTTTGAGGGTATTAGGACCATTTTAAAAAGGGAATAGAATAATAGTATTGTAGCACAGCACAGGTGGGCCCTCCTATAAGGGATACAAATGCAGTCTATTGCTCTGTTTTTTTTGCATGTACCACTCCCCTTTTTTCTTCAAAGTGTTACCCTCCCTTTATTACCCTCTTTCTTCACTACAGAACACCATGCTTTGGACCAGCATTTGACCGATTGTCTTCAGCTTTACAAACCATCCCAAAAATGTCAGAGCCAGGCTTGTTTTCCAGCCTTCAGCGTTTTAGATTTCAGCGATCATACTTTGCAATAATGGCTACCACAAAATGCAATCCTAAAACTCTTTTTCGTGTAATTTTTTCAAAAAGCTATAACAAAAGTGTTGTCGCACGTAAACAATGAAGGGGTTGACCCAGAATGTCCTCACAAGAAGATGCTAAAACCCTCACCTAAATAAGCTTTGTATTTCTACTGAGAATCACAAGGGAGCACTTAGAATAAAAACTAGGCGCCACAGTAAAATTTCTAAGCACCACGGTGACTGGGATTTGTTGAACCCTGCTTTAGATCGTTATTCCTTTGCACTGTTTTCCAGTTCTATAATTCTAATCCTGGAGGTCTTTGCTGTCTGATTGGTGTTTCATATTTTATAATTTGTCTTGAGTCTCAGTGAGAAAGGTCGGATATAAACTACAACAACAGTTATGGGTATTCGGTTATGCTGTCCTTTTTCCTTCTGATCTGCCTCTTCTAAAAACTGAGGGATTATTTCATTTATTTCTTACAAGAATCACATAGCCATTGGCTGATCTGCTCTGATGTCATGGCAGACACAGGAACACTCCAAGTCATGGAGAACTGGGACTGTGTACTTCTTCTGTTTTGTAAACTGCCTCAGGAGCCAAATGGTCGAAAAGTAGCACAGCAATTTACTACACGCAGCACCTAACAATCCTACAAACGAAACTGAACAGAACATTGCCTGTTTGTTTACAACAACGAAAAGAGATAAAAACATGCTCCTTCCCCCCCCACACTGCAAGAGGCAAATCCCACCCCCACCCCACAGTCAACTGCCTACAAGAAAAACGTTTCAAGAATGTTTTGCAGCACTCCTGAGCCCTAAGGGGGAATTGCTGACCAACTTGGCCAGGATAAGACCGTCTGAGTCAAGTCCTACGGGGCAATTCACAGGAAAGCAGGAGGTTAGTAGCCGCTTATATGCAACATGGTTAGTCAGCATCAGTGGCTGCTGTACCTTCTCCTGTGGGTGGGAGGCTTCCTTGCAATATCTCCCAGCACTCGCATTGAACTGAAAATGAATCATGGACAAAATGGTCAGTGATAAGAAGGGAGTGGTGTGAACAAATGAGAAATCCCTAGATTTTTTTGGGGAGGGGGGGCAGCGCAGAGAAGGGATGAGGGGGCAAATCTTGAAAGAAAGAGGGATGTGTATGCATTTGTTTAGGGTCTGGAGAAAAGAGTCTGCTCGGGCTCAGGAACAATTACAGCTTTACCACCCAAAGGCATCTCCTAGTATGATTCAGACCGCTTTTTCAGTGTACACACAGCGATTGATAAAGAGGTCCCTGTCCAGTTCATACACTTGGCAGAATCCAGTGGTGAATTTTTGTTTCTGGATACAAGTACCAGGGTTGCCTATTTAGGAACCAAGGGAAGAGGGGTCTTGGCTCAGGGGCAGAGCATCTTCCCTGCATGTAGAAGGTCCCAAGTTCAATCTCCGGCGTTTCCAGTTAAAAGGACCAAGTAGCGGGTGATGTGAAAGATCTCTACCAGAGCTCTTGGAGGGCTGCTGCCAGTCAGAGTGGCCAATACTGGTTTTGATATTCTATGGGTGCGGTCAGACGGGGCGTTTCAGCCGGCATAAACTGTACCGGTTGGAACCAGTGCAGTTTATGCCGGCTGAAACGTGATCACACTCACCTCCTGACTGCGCAGCACATCGCAATACGCTCGTCCACACACAGCGGGCGTTGGTGGGGTTTTTTTCTAACTTAATTTGTGCATGCGCATAGGCAGCCATCCACAGAATGGCAATCTTCATGCATGCGCAAAACACCCCGTCTTACATTTAAAGTTTAAAGGTAAGGACTTACCTTTAAAGTGTAAAGAGCAAACTGGCCTCCCTGAGGTCCCGGACTCCTCTAAAAGTTGGGGGGGGGGGAGGCCTCTTCCAATTTTTCTCCCATTGCTCCAACTCCATCTCACAGTTCCCACACCTGCAGCCCGAACTGGTAAAACCTGCCAGAAAAGTTCATCGGCACTGCCTTGCAAGATGCAAAGACGTTTGGGGGCAGTGCCAGGGGAGGGCAGAGACTGGTGAGGATGAGAAGCTCCAGGCTGCCCCTGGTTTCCATGGTCTTTACCACAGAAACGAGGGGGAATTCCTAGAGCATCACCCATTTGTTCTCCCACTCCTCAATTCAGAGGCAGGAAACTGGGGGTGGTAAACGGGGAACCTAGGATCATGGCATGATGCGACTGAGTGTGTCCGCTGGCACTGAGTGTGTCCACTGAAATGCACGAGGAAGCAAGCCACCACTGGCGGAACTTGGATAAGCCCGAGACCCAGGATCAAAGTGAAGTGTTTTAAACCTGTATTCACAGTCAGCCACTCACCCCATCCTGCAGGCGAGGGTGGAACAAGATAAGTCCTGAGACTGATTCAGATAAACTCTTGCCGTGTTACCTAACAACAGGGCAGTGCTAAAACAGATATACGCACACCAATGCTCCCTCTAAGCTGTGGAGTCTTGTGAGCAACAATTCTACTTGGTGAGCTCCTGGCATTAAAGTTGTGAGTGAGCGATTTGGCTACTGCATGAATTAGTTTGCTCTGCCGTCCCTTCCTGAGCTAAGACAAAAATCTGTGAGCCGGAGGTTAAAAAACTGTGAGCTAGCTCACACTAACTCAGCTTAGGGGGGACACTGACACACACACTTGGTCTATAATTGCCATCAAGCTTGGTTTTCATAGTATGGAGCAGGGTTCCCAGTCCCCCGGTGGGGGTTATTGTTCACTGCTGAACAGCCGGACAACAGAGGAAAATCCCGCCTCCAACTGACCTTCCTGGGCGACTTCCAGTAAAGCCGGAAGTGCAAGCCCCAGCATGATGACGTCACCTGATAGTGACGTCATCACATCGTGGACATCGGGGGGGGGATGCTCTGCTTTGTGGGCAAAACTCTATGGTTTGAAGCCAAATCTACCATAGAGTTTTGCCCCAAAACCAGTGCCGCCACCCCCCAACGTGATGATGTAACTTCCGGGTGACAGCGCCGTGCCAGAGCCTGCACTTCTGGTTTTATTGCAAGTCGCTCAACATCACTTCCTGTCTCACGGAAGGATGTTGGGAGCCCCCTGCTGGCCAGGTAAGTGGGCCTGGCAACCCACGGAACCTGCCACCTCCGGTTTCTTGAGAATTATAATTTTAAAAACAAAGTAATAAAAAGCACATTTCTAGTCCTCGAGGATTGTGGACACAGGCCTCTGAGGGCCCTTCGGCTCACCTCCTGTGGTTGACCTCGGCTTCGCTGCTGGCGTTCTTTCCTGGGCCCCAGCTGTGTCGGCGGAAAGGGGACGACGGTCTCATAGAACTCCTCAGGACAGAAGAGTGCGGAGGCACCTCTGTGATGCTGTCAAGCTCTTCCTCCAGCTCTCCAGTGACAGCAAATTCGCCGTCGGGTCCCTCGCCGCTGGCCACATGGCAGCTGCCGCCGTCCAGGCCATACTGGGCCTGGGGCCTGGGGGGGTTCACAGTCAGGGGGAGCGAAATGTCACTCCCTAGGGAAGAGTTCCTTTCCAGGGATATCGTATCATCTGCTGAGGAGCCAGAACTCGTACTGTCTCCAGCAGACGGCTCCTCTTCGTGCTGTGACAGGAGAGAAAAAAAGAACAACAATGAGGGGGATGGAAGAAACCTGGTTTGGCAGATTATGCTTTCAGAGTCCATGCGCACAAGGCAATAGGATCACCCTGGATCACAATGGAGAGGCAAGCGGTGGCTCAGTGTGTTTCCACCTGCAGCCCAGGAGAGCTTCAGGAGTTTTCTCCCATGCAAGACACAAAGGACTCGCTAATCCTTCCCCCACATGTCTGCAATGAAAGCTTTGGCAGAAGCTCTCCTCGGAAGCACCTCAGCTTGTTCGTTCTTATTTCTTTGTGTCCCGGCGTGCCAGGACTTGATGGAAGAAGGGGGAGGGCCTCACCTGTCATTCGTCCTGGGAGTAGGGCTGCCAAGTCCCCCCGGGGGGCGGAAACCCCCCCGCCCCAGAGGCCCGTTCTCCAACGCCAGGGAATCGGGGCCCAGGGGGAACCCAGCCCCAGCGTGCACGTCACAGGGAAGTGACGTTATGACACCGAGCACACTGGGGGCGGGGCCACGGCCATACAAGGGAAAACTCTATGGTTTTCCCTTGTATGGTCGTGGCCCCGCCCCCAGCGTGCCCGGCGTCATAACGTCACTTCCCTGTGACGTGCATGCGGCGCGGGATACACCCAGGAGTCCCCCGTCGGCAAGGTAAGCCCCACTTGGCAACCCAACCTGGGAGAGAAGGGGTGAAAGACCCTTTGGGGACAGACCCCCTCAGCAGGGCTTGCAAGAGTTATGGTCTCCTGTTTCACACACAAACAATCTTTATTTGGCATAAGAAGGTAGGATACAACAAAACACCTGAGCAAGATTTGAGGGGGAAATAAAAAACAGTCTACAGAAATTCTCCAGAACAAGCGGCGTAGCAGAAACTAAGTACAGTTGGATCTTAACTAAGAAGAGTGGGCACGTAATCTTCCCCCTATCAGACTGTTGGGTGGAGAGAGTGAAAACAGAGATGATTGTGGCGGTCCAAACTCTAGATCCTACTGTGTGAAGGCCCAATTCAGCACACAGGGTGAAATAGCGCACCAAGTTGGGGATGCCTAAAATATGATGCAGAAAAGACGTTTTGATTTTTTCGGCATTTTGGTTGGAGTATTGGAACCACGCAGGAATCCCATAAAGTAACTGAGGAAGAATGGTGGTATGGAAAATCCGTAAAGCAGCCGGAACAAATTGATTACCGTTTTGGTAATGAAAGCGGGTTAATGCCGACTGCTTATTCCTAGCCAAGAGAAGGCTTGGTCGCGATGCATGGACCATTTTAAGTGAAAAAGGACACCCAGATACCTAAAGGATTTAACTTGGGTGATGGTCCTGCCATTGATTTTCCAAGTATGCTGCTTCCATGATTTGGAGAACAGTAAAATTTGAGTCTTGTCATAATTGAGAAATAGGGAATTCTGGGCGCAATATGAGATAAAAGCTGATAGTGAGCGCATTAATCCCACTTTAGTAAGGGATAAGACAGCAGCATCCTCAGCATATAAGAGAATAGGTGCTGTAGTTTGGGGGCATGACCCTCAGTTTTAGATAAATAGGAGGGAAGGTCAGAAAGAAACAAGTTGAACAGGGTGGGGGCCAAGGCGCAGTCTTGTTTTACCCCCTTGGTGACAGGGATTTTTGGTGTCAATGCGCCCATGTTGGTAAACTTAACCTGACAAGAGTTAAAAAGATGGAGTCTGTGTATCAGAGACAGCAGACATTGATCAAGGCTTAATTTATCGAATCGAAGGCTTTGCGAAGGTCGATAAATGCCACATATAGCTTACCTCTAGGGTATTGGGAGTATTTTTCTACTAAAAAGGATAGTGTAATGCAGTGATCAAGCATGGAGTGGTTAGCTTTTGTAAAGCCTATTTGTTCCTTCCCTGGCAAATTATGGTCCACCATCCATGCAGACAGTTTCCTTAGCAGGTGCTTGGCATAAAGTTTCCTTACAATAGATAGGAGACTGATCGGTATGTAGTTCTTGATATTGTTAGGATCACCTTTTTTAAAAAAAAAATTGTGTTATTATGGAGTTTAACCATGTTTCTGGAAGGGAGCCAAATTTGTTGATCAAAGTGATCACCACTTGGTGCTACTTTTAAGACGTTTGGCTGGTATGCCGTCAGGGTCTGGGGCTTTATGAGATTTGAGAGAAGTAAAGTAAAGGTAAAGGTTCGCTTGCTCGAAAGCCAGTCGAGTCCGACTCTAGGGTTGTGGTGCTCAACTCCGTTTCAAAGCCGAAGAGCCAGCGCTGTCTGAAGAAGTTTCCGTGGTCATGTGGCCGACATGACTAAACACCAAGGCGCACGGAACGTTGTTACCTTCCCACCGAAGTGGTACCTATTTATCTACTTGCAATTTCTTGAAGAGATTAATTCAAATACTTCTTCTGGTGTAACAGGCAGCCATTCAGGAGCATCTATAAGTGTTAATGAATCATTAGTGGTCTCCTATTTGATGGTGGAAAGGGCTGTCAAGTGGCAGCCAATGTGTGGTGACCCCACCGCCTTTTTATGCATGAGAGAGAGAGAACCCCCAAAGAGCTCGGAATCCAAATTTAGCCAGGTGGGATGGAGCAGGACAGAGGAAGGGAATGGTTTGGTGAGTCTTCCTGTGTCTGCCAGTTTAACCTCGGGAAGAAACCCGAGCGCATTATCAGGAAGTTATGTCACCATAGTCCAGTTTTGTCTTCATTGTGCCATACTGGAAAGTTGCTGGGTTCAAAAATAACCTACATAGCAGTGCTGGAGAATGGCTGAGGGTTACGATCTTATGGTGTGCATGTCCCACTTTTGCAAAGCTAATAAAAGCAGAAGGGGATTTCTGTCAAACAGGCGACTTCTTGCCAGAGCTACAGACGTATATTTATAATGAAGTGGGTGGTGTGGGGACTCTTCTTCATATCTTCCGATGAACGGGAGATGCCCTGACCTGGATAACCCAGGGTAGCCTGACCTGGTCAGATCTCGGAAGCTAAGCAGGGTCCACCCTGGTTAGCACTTGAATGGGAGACCACCAGGGTTGCTACACAGAGGAAGGCAATGGCAACTCACCTCTGGATGTCTCTTGCCTTGGAAAACCCTGTGAGGTCGCCCTAAGTCAGCTGGTTGACCACTGGGTAAAAAAGGATGCTGGACTAGATGGATCGCTTGTCTGATTCAGCAGGGCTCCTCTTATATTCTCAATAGTCCAGATACTGATGGAGAGCAGAGGGGGGGTGGCCATCAGCTATCAATACTACTTTGGGATTGCCAAAAACTCCATGTTCTATCACAGAGCTTCTGACGTGGCATGATATCACTTCTACATTTTCCCAGTGGCTTTTTAAAAACTTTTTTCCTTCTCCACTGGAGTGCCAGCAGGCACATGGCAAAACCAGACAGTGTCAACGCTTCTGGGATGTCCAGTACGTCCCAACATGGAAGGCTTGAAGTAGCATGAGCTGCCCCTGCAAATGACAGGCCTAGAATGCACCCAGTACAAGGACTTAATGTTTGCAAGCCACACTTTGCTCCCATCCCCTTCACAAGATGCTTTTTTGGGAATCACTGGCACAGAAAATGCAGCAAAATGTGCCTTGGACAGTTTCTGAGAGACAGAAAGCGAGCGTGCTCTTGTCTGCTCCCAATACAGCCCTCTAAAACATAAAGTGATAAATTCCGATTAATTCTTTGGTGAGACAGTGCCCAGAGGTACATAAAAAGTCCTTTTTGGAGAAGAGCAGAACACAACATTGCTGCGACACGGCCAACTATTAGCAGATCTTCTTGGTTGCAAAAAAGATTGCTTGATTTATTTTCTTCTCCTTTTCAGAAACCGAAGCCAGGCCTTCTTAGATGAAAATTACTATTCATCCCCATGCCTCACCCTTTCCTACGCCACTCCCTGGGTTGCGCATGAGGCTGCAGGGTTCGGAAGCCATGCCAAAAAGGCCTCCCTTTATTTTCCCCGCTTCACGCCCTCCGCTGAGGGCTGCAACTCCAACAGCCCCATCAGAAATGAAGCGCCACTAAGGCCGGCTCTTAACCCACGCCAGTGGTCTGCCCTGGCCTACAAGCTGTAGGACTACTCTGGGAAAGCGACAAGGGCGAGTCATCGGACGTGCATCACTCTACCAGGGGAAGGGGGGGGGTGACGCGAGGCAGGGCTTCAGAGAGATGACTTCAGGAAATGACATTCGACAGCATGACTCACTCAGACGGAGGGTGTCGCAACTGTCTGTCCGCTACACTGAGATGTTCATTTGAAGAAAGGAAGAGGAGGCAGAGAGCCAGGCATACAAACAAAAGATCTCAGACTTCACTACCAGGGCCCACGCTACAAAATTACTTGGTTTGAATTAATTGGTTTTAGTTACTTATTTGCCTCACGTTTAGCTTGCCTTACTCTCCCATGGGGACCCAAAGCCGCTTACATCATTCTCCTCTCTTCCATTTCATTCTCACAACGACCCTCTGAGGTGGGCTCGGCTGAGTGTGTGTGACTGCCCCAAGATCATCCGTGGCAGAGTGGGGGATTCAAACCTGGGGCTCCCGGATCCTAGTCCAGCACTCAAATCACTACACCACGTTGGCTTCATCTATCTCTTGAAACACTTTAATGAGAATTCTGACAGCCAGTTTGGTCTAGTGGGTAGGTGTGCAGACTCTAATCTTGGAGAACCAGGTTTGATCCCCCACTCCTCCACATGCAGCTGCTGGTGTGACCTTGGGTCAGTCACAAGTTCTGTCAGAGCTGTTCTCTCAAGAGCAGTTCTCGAGAGAACTCTCTCAGCCACACCTACCTCACAGGATGATAACTTAGAACTAACAAACCAAAAAAGAGGAGATTCACGGTAGGGAGAAAATTAACAAAAGACCAGAAACCCGTAAATATAATAATGCAAAATTTATAAGAATAGCATGTGAACCCTTAACAAATGTTATGAATACAGAATATTATACTAAATGTCTCTGATGTCAGCCCAATTTTTGAAGACACTTCAAAGTCCTAACAAAATTCTATCT